TAATTTGAATAAAATCAACTTAATGAATTCTACTAGATAGAGCATGCAAGATAAAGAACTATTTCAACTATGGGGTCATCTTTGTCTTCTCCAACGTCGATCTGAAACAGATACGGTGGTAACAGATTAATAAAGAGCAATTAAAATTATTTATATAAAATAGTCTCACCTTAATTAAGTGTACACTGTAATATTCCAAAATTTGCATGTCTGAAAAGCAAACCAAATCCAGGAGGAATACCATAGCAGAAAATTTGTTGTTTCAAAAGAACTCAAAGAAACCTCCAGTTGCTCTCACTCGTCGGTTGAAAATTGACTGCATAATGGTTCAAGGTGAGGACAAAGTAGCAAAACAAGAATATAGTCCAGGAAAGATGAAGCCCATCTAGACAATGCTTGTTTCAGTATGACCAAGCTGACTTTAAGTCTCTCTTTTCTTAGATAATCTGCAGAAATGGACAAAAAACTTTATTAATTACACTATTAATTAAGGAAGGGATTAAGAACACCTAAAAACAGACCAAAAAGTAAGTAAAACAGTCGAATTATAAAAGGATGACAAGCATCCATTTTACATGACAGATCGTATTTGACATATGTGAAATAATCATAGATGCATAACGTCAATTCATGATGCGAATAATAGATAACTGTTAAATGAAATACTATAGATGCTCCGCACAATAGATAAATGTTAAAATGAATACCACAGATGCACAACGCCAACTTATACTGTGAACAATAGAAAACTGTTAATATACCGTAACAGATTAATAGAATAGCACGTCATGCTTTATCACCTTAAGTGAAGTAGCGGTCGAATGTGGAATGCGCAAGCCAAATCTAGGAGAGTACCACTGCAGACAATCTGTTGCTTGGGTGGTTTCCAAATTAATTTCCAGTTCTCTCCCTTACATCAAAAGCATCAGTTGCTCCATTAGCATCGAAAATTAACTGAATTCCTTTTCATGGACAATCTACAAAAACGAACAAGAAAAAGTAATCAATTACCACTTTTAATGAAAACTCCTTTTCCCACATTTACTCTCATATTAAAATGTACTTATAGTTTACATTCACAGCTAGAAGTACGGTGGTAACAGATTAATAAAGAGCAATTAAAATTAATTATATCAAGTAGTCTCACCTTAATTAAGTGTAGACTGTAATATTCCAAAATTTGCATGTCTGAAAAGCAAACCAAATCCAGGAGGAATACCATAGCAGAAAATTTGTTGTTTCAAAAGAACTCAAAGAAACCTCCAGTTGCTCTCACTCGTCGGTTGAAAATTGACTGCATAATGGTTCAAGGTGAGGACAAAGTAGCAAAACAAGAATATAGTCCAGGAAAGATGAAGCCCATCTAGACAATGCTTGTTTCAGTATGACCAAGCTGACTTTAAGTCTCTCTTTTCTTAGATAATCTGCAGAAATGGACAAAAAACTTTATTAATTACACTATCAATTAAAAAAGGGATTAAGAACACCTAAAAACAGACCAAAAAGTAAGTAAAACAGTCCAATTATAATAGGATGACAAGCCTCAATTTTACATGACAGATCATATTTGACATATGTGAAATAATCATAGATGCATAACGTCAATTGATGCGAACAATAGATAACTGTTAAATGAAGTACTATAGATGCTACGCACAATAGATAAATGTTAAAGTGAATACCACAGATGCACAACGCCAACTTACACTGTGAACAATAGAAAACTGTTAATACACTGTAACAGATTAATAGAATAGCACGTNGATACTTTTTAATTAGTTTCCGCGGTTTCAGGTCACTTGCAAAGAAAAATATGATCCGCCACACTCTCCCCAGACTGTTTTTGTACGAAAACCATTTCCGGAAGCTATTTTATAATTAACGGGCGTATTTTAGAAAGTTACTTTAAATGCGGACGTCCAGTCCCTTTGTAACAGTATTTGAAATTAAAGGGTCTAGAATTTTTTTTTAATAAATGCAAGTTTATGCGTAGTAATTATAGTTATTAGAAAAATTAATTAATTACTTTAACCTTTATATTCACTTCGTATTTAGTATTTACCTACTATTGAGTAGGACGCAAGAACACGTTTTTAGTAGATATTTTTTGAAGTGAAACTTCTTTACGCACGGTAGGGTAAAATCGTTTCATGCGAGTTGCTATGTAACGAAATCATGCAACGCATTTCCCCCGCTGTCTGTCCCTATGTATGCTTAGATCTTTAAAACTACGCAACGGATTTTAATGCGTTTTTTTCTAATAGATAGAGTAGTTCAAGAGGAAGGTTTATATGTATAATACATGCATAATATAGTAGAGAAACACTGATAATCTTAGAGGTTTCTAATGTGGTGTCGTAAATAAACACATTATTTTGCGCTTACATTACAAACGCTGGCTGAACCTTACGAGATAGATCAAAATTATATACTACAGTATTGTACACCTTAAAAAAGTCTACAAAAAAGTCCCCGATGGTATATGTCTATCTCTTAGGGATAATCCACAATAACCATTTTTTATCCTTTACTTTTTACAAGAAATAATGGCTTATTTACGAAGCGATTTTAAGCAATACAGCATTAATCCTTATCCAATTTAAAGACAGATCAATATGGCCCTTTACAGCATGTAATTTAAATGAATATTTTCGAAGATATTACAGACTTAAAATGCAGGGACATACCGGTTGCGGCGGTATTGGCCGGTTTGTATTGTCTAATGACCAAAAAGCTATGATTGTTGTATATAAAGACATACTATGGTATATTTACTATCAGCATTGCACTGTAACATACTTAATCATTGATTAGTTTTCTCATGTGCATGTATATACGCCTTTCTTTCTAATATCCCACGAATTTCTTCCTCTTTATATGCCTTTGTGATGATAGCATTGGGATTAGTATTATCTCATCGTCGCACATACGACTCTCACCCCTTTAAGACACAAAGATGACCCTTAAAAATAAAAATGCCCCTTATAACCGGTTTGACCAACCTTAAAGGACCGCTTCGAATGTAGACAAAAAGGGTCACGTTTATAAAAATACTGACCCTTAATTTGCATACCGGTATGACCAGTGTGAGAAAAAAGGACGCGATTTCTCTAACCAGAGTCGTCTTAGGGGTTAAATTCCCTCACCGTTGGCATCGTTAGAGTTTGTACGTGTACATATTCCCGACCGGTTCTGTTCCTAAACGGCATCATCATCATCACCATCGTCGTCATTATTATTTTTATCCTATGGTCACCTTCATCCTGTAACGGTTATTTTCTCTTACATTGGCGCGATTTTTATTGACGATTTGGATAGTAAAGCGTTGTGTAAATTTCGGCAGCAGATGGTCGATGGTGATTAGACAAGGACCTAACAATGCGTGTTTATTCTGTAGGTAGCATTAAATTTCAACCTCATCAAAAGGGATTCTTAAAAATAGTCTTTTTATGATATACCTACCTACAAAGAATAACTGAGGAAATAAACGCTAAAATATAAAGGATCTCGAGAACTTCCCGAAACTTATCCGAACTCCCAAGTAACATTTCGCTGCTTTGACTTTTTCTCTACTTACTTAACTTTCCGCTTCATAAAATTGTTTTTGTTGTGTTATAAATAACGGTAAACGCGTCAATTCTTTTTTTAGATAAATATCATGAAATGATTGAAAAGTTTAACACAATTGTTTAGTTTCTCGTCAAATAAAAATTAGTTGAAAAAATTAAAAAAAAAGAACAACTCCGAAACAACTCGAGATAATAAATGTATTTTGGATTGTCCCTGAAATCCTCCAGGCATTCTGTTTATCGTTATAAACAATAAACGAGAGTGCTTTTCTTTAATTTCTCTATGTTTTAACAGAAGTGGTGTCGGCCTCTTCGGGGGCATTTTTAAATTCAGAAATGAAGAGCATTTACCAATTTTTATCACTTTTTTTTTGCTTTTTAAGAATATATATTCTTATATATCCTTCATCGAGATTTTGTTACGCATGTGCAATAAAAAAAGCCTACATAGTGAAAAATTTTTGAATTTTGAAAATCATTGTTTTCTGTTTTTAGTTTGCAATTGTATTCGCCATCTATATGAAATTTTGACAGTTTCTTTAATTTCAGATTTTCTCCCCTGGATGCAAAAGGCAGCACCTACAGGGACGTTTTCATGGAAAAGGGAATCGATGAGAGTTCACCACCTCCCACCATCTCCTGATACCTCGTACGCTTAAACGGTGAGTCATTAACCAGGGTCGCAGCCAAACACAAAATTTTTAGTAATTCTTAAAATTCCCAAATAATAAATATCAAATTGCCTTTTTTTAACATAAACTAAATAAAAGTATCCAAAATTTTCCTCACTGAAATATTTGCAGTTAATTTTNAAATAATAATTTTGTAGAAACTGAATTATTTTATAAAATCAATTTATTTATAATGAACGAACTGATTGCTATTATTTTTCATAAAACCGATCGATTTACATAAACCACATTCTAGGCCTGTTCTAGATTATCAAATATGGCCGAGTTAACTCCGTACGTATTAATAAACTTAATTAATGCGAGTCGTAAAAATAATCCCATACCCGATAATTAAAATACATACCACAGATAAAGCTGTAATTCCAGGGCGTATAATGATATAAATTTTGTATGTAATATTACATTTAAATCTTTTATCAAAAATGCACACAAAATGTCTAACCGTAAATGCTGCAAAGTGAAAGTGCAGCGCACAAGCAGCAGTAGACAATGAAGAGTGAACAAGAAGGAAGTACGTCATCGACGTCATTATAAATTTATTAATCGCGTCGATGATAGTTGTAAGCATAGACATATAATAATGGACATGCCTTAGCCGTATATCGTTGTAATAATTTCTTGGCTGGAAAAGAGTGAGGGAGATGGCGTATGGTTTCGGACTAGTGCTATCTCTTTCATGACACGCTTACGCACTATCGTGAGAGAAATGGATATTGTCCGAAACTTCGTTCCATCTCTTTCTTTTGTTGTACCACAATTCTGACCGCTAAGGCATGTCCATTAGTATATGTCGATTGTAAAGGTAGCCTTACTGTGAAATAGGCACAGACATGATAAATAGAAAAACAATAGATAATATATTACCATAGAGTAGAATAAATATAAAGATATGTTCAAAAATTGTACTCCTATATTAAATTGATTGTTGGCATTTTCATTCCTTTAGGAAACAATCGCAAAACTTCGCAAAGTTTCGTATTAAGCTAACTGAGTAAAATACAAACAATGCTTTTCAAAAAGGCAAAATAAGTTGTGGAATTTAGATACTCAGGAAAGTAAAAAATTTTCTCAATATTTAGACAGAACACTAAAAATTCATTGATTTATTCTTAATATTATACTACCTAAATACAAATTAAGAAAAAGGGGGTTGGTACATTAATTATTTTTGATTAAGAAGATTTCTTTGACTATTATTGGTTTATTACATTTTTATACTTTCATCTTTCTTATTCACGGAAAAATTATATGAAAAATAATAAATAAACGCCACAAATTATCAAGAAAAAGCAAACAAAGTTTTTTGTCCGCATTTTTAAGTACAAAATTATAATCAACCGTATAAAAAGTTCTAATGTACAGTACACATCATAAAAACACTCGGATGAGACAAATTAATATCCAAAACACAGTTAAAAAACATTATTTACCATCAACAGCATTTAGTGTTATGAAATAATAATTATTTTCATAGACTCCTTCTGAATCAAATACATTTCAATAGATTATTTATTTAAAATCTAAATATTTCATTGCTTGCAAATTTCGACTCATACTGTAACGTATCTATCTTTAGGATGATAATCTTAACATAAAATTCCACTTTTAAATAATAATTTTTCGCACTCCATATAGGCAGCCCAAAATACTGCGAAGGATTTTTAATGTCAGTTCAACAGTAACTGTCTTAATTCAAATATTAAAAACCCCCTTTTTTAAAAAGAGGCTTTAAAACATTATTTACTGTATGTTTTAGACAAATAATGTTAGTCTGTCCACCCAGCATTACTTAATTACATTTTAGTACCTTTAATTCAATTCGTAAGTAAGAAATTAGTTTATCAAAAAATAAAAACGACATCCTTAAACTGAAGGTTGATATGCACCCTCGTAATTTTTTACAGTACCGTTCTATTCACTCATGAATCCCAACAACGTTAATTAATTTTCATTCAGCATCTTTTATAAGGGAGCAATTAATTTATCAAATTAAAAGCGACGTCTTTAAATTGAAGGTTGAAAGTGCACTACGGTAATTTCTAACAGTTAAGTTCTATTTACTGATGGCTTGGAAATACTTTAGTTCATTTTGGAACTTTCAGCTGGTTTAATAAGGGAGAAATTANTAAATTGAGGGTTGAAAGTGCACTCCGGTAATTTCTAACAGTTAAGTTCTATTTACTGATGGCTTGGAAATACTTTAGTTCATTTTGGAACTTTCAGCTGGTTTAATAAGGGAGAAATTAATTTATTCAAACTTAAAAAGGACGTTTTCAAATTGGGGGTCAAAAGTGCACCCCGGTAATTTCTAACAGTTAAGTTATATTCATTGACACCTTGGAACAACTTTAGTTAATTTTGGAACTTTCAGCTCGTTTAATAAGGGAGAAATTAATTTATTCAAACTTAAAAACGACGTTCTTAAATTGGGGGTTGAAAGTGCACTCCGGTAATTTCTAACAGTTAAGTTATATTCACCGACGCCTTTGAACAACTTTAGGTTATTTTGGAACTTTCAGCTCGTTTAATAAGGGAGAAATTAATTTATTTAAATTTAAAAACGACGTTCTTAAATTGGGGGTTGAAAGTGCACCCCGGTAATTTCTAACAGTTATGTTATATTCACTGACGCCTTCAAACAACTTTAGGTTATTTTGGAACTTTCAGCTCGTTTAGTAAGGGAGAAATTAATTTATTTAAATTTAAAAACGACGTTCTTAAATTGGGGGTTGAAAGTGCACCCCGGTAATTTCTAACAGTTAAGTTATATTCACTGACGCCTTGGAACAACTTTAGTTCATTTTGGAACTTTCAGCTCGTTTAATAAGGGAGAAATTAATTTATTCAAACTTAAAAACGACGTTTTTAACTTGGAGTTGAAAGTGCACCCCAGTAATTTCTACCTGTCAAGTTACATTCACTGATGCTTTGGAACATAGCAATGAACTATTATATTCGATTTACATACATTACAAGACTGTTGAAATATGAATAACTGCTTGTGTTCTGTGATAATTAGATGTAATCCTTTTATTTGCGTAATTACTTATGTATTGGGTATAATGCGTTGTATTTTTGAAAAAAATAAAAATTAATAAAATAAAATTATTGGCGGGAGAAAGAAATAGGGTTTTGCTTTTGACAATTGTTTTGATAGATTTTTGTGGATACAATTTAAATATAATCTTTAAACACATCACATTAAATATTCGTTATGTGTAAGCTTTTGAGTGATGGTTCACCACACTTTAAGGTAATTGATTTTATAACACCAACTGTAAAGTGTAAGACCTTTATTTATCCACAGAGTACTATAACAAATTTATTGCACATCCTTAGATTCACATTACCTATATATTCTAATTCTAATAATCAGCTTTTTCAGTACAATATATGGGATGATGATTACAGTAAGCTATCAATAAAACATTATTCTTCGATTCAATCTTAATATATTTTTACACTTACAGCATATATCCATAATAAATAGTAATTACAATATAATTTCTGCTTGCTCGCATTTTTTTTGAATCGTGTGTTGTTGGTTTTTAGTAGGCATGATTTTTAACGAAGAGCCCCTGGTCTCCAGCTTTTCCTTCAACAGTTCCGGCCACATATTTGCCAAGAGAAGCCTCGCTATTTGCCTTTAAAAAATCATCCCTGTTAGCTTAATTGATTAATTCAATTTCCTAATATCCGGTAATATGATAAGGCAGTAAACAACACCAGACCCCAATACATATTCACAAACACTTATATAAACCTTAGCAGTTCATACACATACCTAATAAACATTCCCAACCCCTCACATACAACACCTTTGATATCGTACACACACACACCAATATATATAAGTAAATGTACATCCACCAATGCACATTCCCAACTCGGCTCACTCCCTATCACTTCATATGTACAAAACCACCACATGCACGATACACACCCCACAGCGTTCATACACATCCCAATAAAATACCACACAGTACCATTGTGTGTACATGTGTCATCGCGTATTACGGGAGTGTTCGGGGGCACCGGCTTCGATCTTCGAAGCCTCCAACACTGTGTAATGTGTATTATTTGATAACTGAATGAAATGGCCTAATTACCAAAAATAGAATATTTTTTTTTTTAAATATGTGCTTGATTTGTTTATTTGCAACAGTATAAATGATTTGTTTGTAGTTCTTGTTGTATAATTAAAATTTATTCATTCTTTTGTAAGAGCGGAAAACTTAAAAAACTTTTGAGCGTTTGATGAGTATGAATTAACAGTAAAGAGGGTGCACTTTTGATGGATACTTTGGATGGATGAGGAAAGGAAAGTGTGTAAAATGTACCGTATACGCTGAATGTGTCAGTTGTAAGAAAACAATATAAAAAATTACAAATGCACAAGTTGAAAAGATACGTTACTTCCACTGGATGGTTAAAAATTAATTAATTATACATTTACTATAAATTAAATGAAAAATTAGAGGAACGAAATGCTTCATTTAAAACAACTCTATGTTAATTGTAATTTAAAAAAAATAATTACATTTACACTATTATTATTTTGCCAAGAGAATTTTTACAGAAAAATAAAATTATATGTGCGTATTTTAAATGGAAACCTTAAACTTTAACTAATTACAGGAATTAAACGAACACTAAATTTTGATCTTTTGTAGAAAATGTTTTATTTCCATTAACCAGGCCAGTGCTAGTAACAAAAAATATATAAAACAGCTAACTTACCTTTGCACGTTTTAAAAGTTCTGCCTGACCATTTGCAATATTTTCGTCTTTTCCTTGCCAAGCTTTGAGGACTGAAGCTTGAAGAGCACGACCATAACTGAATGACAGGGCCCATGGTTTATTTGCTGGATTAAAGCTGCAATTAACGTGATAATTATTATATAAATGTTATAGGAAGGATACCTCCTTTGGACAATAATCATTTTTAAGAATTGTATATTTAATGTATCTGATGTAAATAAATAAATAAATTGTGAACTTTAGGTTTCATTTTCCTAATTTCTCAAAAATGAAATAAAATGTTTAAAGTGACTATATAAGACAAATAAGTAAAACAAACATATCTTTGTTGTAAATATACTAGATGGTGTATGTATATGACACATAACTTCTATGTAATACAATATAAAAAATCATTAGCCAAATTTACTTTGAAAAACACTTACTTGTTAATGGCATTCAAATTAACTGAAGCCTCTTCTTCACTCTGTCCACCAGAAAGAAATACAATTCCGGGGACTGCGGGGGGTACAGTGCGTGACAATGCAGTAAAGGTTGCTGCTCCTATTTCAGCGGGAGCGCTCTTATTCGGGGAACTCTGACCGGGTGTCACCATGTTGGGCTTTAACAGAGTACCTTCCAAAAATACATGGTGGTCATTAAGAGCTTTGTAAACTGCGGCAAGTACTGTTTCAGTTACCTGTTGACAAAAATATTATTAAAATAATTTAAAATATTAAAAATTGGAGATAAAAAATTATATATCACTCATTTTTGATATCTGCAAAGTCGATAAACTCAGTATGGAAAAAGTGGTAGAGATATAAAACAAGTAATCACACTGGGTTAAATTGGCGAAAGATTTGGACAGTGTGAGAGTGATGATTAAAATATCGCGGATAACAAAAGTTAGGAAGTATTGAAAAGAATAGAATAAAAGAAGCTATGGATATCAATAAGGAAAAGGAGAGATACAATGGTAGGGCACAGTTTGATGTATGATGGGCTAGTTGGAGAAAGAAAAACAACAGTAAAAAGGGGAAGAGGAAGCCCAAGATTGGGGATGTTTTACTTTTCAGGAAATACGTAAGGCGAGTCAGAATAGGAAGGGTGGAAGTGCGTGCGCAACAAGTCTTCGGGCGACCCTATGATAATAAAGATGAAATAATTAGTACAGCCAACATGCTGTAGTATTAGTATTTCTAAAACAATAGAAACTACAATGGGGCATCTTATATTAACTTACTTTTTGGCAACGTTCGAGGTCATGGTCACCATCAGGTAAAATCTCTGGTTCCACAATAGGAACGATTCCATTGGATTGACAAATGGAAGCGTAACGGGCTAAAACGTTGGCATTTTCTAAAATAGCTTGGTAGGAGGGAGTGTTCTTTTGAATTTTCAAGACACAACGCCACTTGGCAAAGTGACATCCATCTTTTTTATACTGTGCACACCTTTTTCCAAGATCGTCCAAACCTATTACACAAAAAAGATACATAATGAAATTTTGTTCCTGTAGTCTCACTGTATTATATTCATAAATAAAATTGAAATAACTGACTCTTTTAAGCATTTGACTAGTTCGTACAATTATTTGCATGCAATTAAGTCACACAAGTGACAGTTACAAAAATTTCGATGGGACTTTACTGGCACTATGGCTGAAGTGATATCTAGCTAACGAAGTTGGGAGTAAAAACCAGTACGTTATAAAATAAAAAAGGAGAATACGAATTGAAACTTACCTTGTGTGGTACATTCGTTTTCAGAACCGAACAATGGAACCACTCCAGTGTCGACTTTAATTCCGGGAATGATTCCCCTTTGTTTCAACAATTCGGCAAAGGGTGTACCATCATCCGCCTTCTGATATAGGGTTTCGTGAAACAGAATAACTCCAGAAATGTAATTACCAATTGACTTGTCAGTGGTAAACAGCAATTGCCTGTACTTGCGCCTGTTTTCTTCTGTATTTTCGCAACCTATATCAGACAAGCGTTTTCCCATGGTACCAACAGATTCATCAGCAGCCAGAATTCCTTTTCCAGGGGCTACAATAGTGTTGGCGATTTGACGGAGTTCATTCTGGAGAGCGGGATCGGGATAGTTGAAGTAGGTAGTCATTGTGGATCCTGTCAATAGAGATTTGGAATCTGAACTGAAACAAGAAAAATATGCATGATAAAAAATTATCAGACTGACTTCATATACATTTAATAATATTAAACTACAATATAGTACCTATTTATACTTTAATACATTAACCCATATGNCCATCTTTAATACAATAGCTAAAAAAAATGCCTACACAATATGACCTACAGATTGCAGGCCACACCAACTATAAGGAAAATTTAATTTTACCCTTTAATAAAATGATGCATGCTTTATCTCCACCAGCTACTACTACTTACTAACACCCTAGTGCGAGACTGGAAGGGCCTTTTCCTGTCTCCTTTTAGGAATCGTGGAAAAAGGTGGTGGTTGGAGTGGGAATGATATGATGGATGAACTGAAGATGAAAGAAAACTGGAGATATTGCTGCCCCAACATTTGCCCAAATGATTACAGAAAAACCAGGACAGAGGCGTACCGGGAATGCTCAAATTTTAATATATGGGATTAGTCAATGAAGTCAATCAATCTTAAATGTAGTACCATTTGATTAAAAAGTTATTGGAGCCCTCGGTTATACTGTTCTAAAATGTCACTAGGAATGTCTTCCATTAAAGTTTACTAGAATGAACAGGACCGAAACGGTGTGTCCTGGAGCTAGGGCATTTTATATGTATTTCGACTAGTGTTCCAAAGATTGTTTGGAATATCCTATAAGTTGAAGATTTGTCCAGTTTGATAAGCTTAGGAGTGAGAATGTACTGGGATGTTCATGAATGTTTCTAGTGTGGTCTTCTGCTGGAATGTTCTAAAGTGAACTGAACCAGAAGAATCGAGAAAGTTTAGGAATGTTTGAGGGTAATTACGTGTACGGTATAGTTGGCTTCAGGCATTTTCTTATATTTCGATCAGTGTTCTAAAAAATGTTTGGATACTCCTATAACTCCGATATCTCTATCTTTTTTGGTAGAGGCCACTGTACACTAGAATGCTTTTCATTGCTTTTAGAGTAGCCCTCAGACAGAATGTTCTCGAATCTACCTACCTAGGATTGTCCTTAGCCACAATTAACTAGAATGGTAGGACCGAAAGGGTCAAGAATGTTCTGGAACCATTGTGATGATTATATGCGTTTCGGATTGTTGAAAATCTCCTATAATGTTCAAGATTTGTCCGGTTTGGTGTGATGTGTGGGCTTGCGGGTAAACCTAGTAAACCCAGCCAAGTGGGTTGTCGTTTACTAGTTACAACAATAATCCACATCCACTATTGCCAAGTGGTACTGCCGAAGAAATTAGTTTTACTTGCGAACATTGGGCATATTACCCACTTTGTCTTAACCGATCGAGTTTGAGAAATTACCCTCTTTACCTTTCTCTGCGAAAGGTTAATAAACCTCTACATTAAAATAGTTGGACATGTTCGATTACGCACCAAGAAACCGCAATGAATCTGTAGCCTTCATTAATTATGTACATCGACAGAAATACCAACTTTCCAACCGCAGGAAAATTAGTATATATAGTATTTATTTACCTCATGATATGCTGCGAAACCTAATTAATCACGAATTTCTAATTCTCTCCGATTGTACCTCCCAAACATCCTTAACTGTAGTAGTATTTTCCTCATTCATTGCCTTAATACTTGATGATATGTACCTATATTACAGTGATAAGGAATAAGAAACGGACGGAAAATCCATTCTATCAAACAATCGAAATGAGTACAAGCTACCTATGTACCTATTGCAGGTGATGACTTACCAAAAATAAATTCGAGAAAGGCGCAATTTGACTCTATACATATAGGTACGTTTCAGAAATGATAATCGAATGATATATTTGGCACATAGACAAGAACTATAAAAATGGAAAAAAATTGGATGAATACACACAGTATACTATTTGTTGTTTATATAAGCTAGGTACTGCAAAGTCCAACAAATGGGTAACAACGATTGAAGTATTATTACTATTATTATTATTATTTAGAACTGTATATAGTTTTATTATTGATTACAGCCCAACCTTACGTTTATTTACCCGTTTTAAAATGATAAGAACATACCAAGAACTGAAAATATTAAATAATGGTACCTCCGCATATAAAAAAAAAGATAAAGTTGATGACGTTACTTATTTCGATCACACTTTAGAATGTAAAGGTCAACATTCGACCTCAAATAGCATATGATTGACCTCTTAAACGCATGTATAAGTACATTTATATATATAATAGGTAGAGAAGTAATCAGGCTGACTTAAGAAGAGAATAATTATGAAGTAGACCGCCCAACAAGAAAAAAAATGTAAAATTTCTCGAAATAATTAACAAAACACGTAGAATGAATCAAATTTTCTCAGAAACGCTGACAATAATACGAAAAGGGATTCCAATAATATCTCTCGTATTATCATACATAAACTCAGTAAAAAAAATGTTGATAGGTACCTATCCCAATCAATTTTATTAACAGCGTATGATATTATTTGTTTTATTTTTGTTTGTAATCGATTCTAATTCTGAAATATTTGAAAAGATTTCTATTCAGATAAGAAATTTTTAAATAAATTTTTGAGCAACTTCGTCTTTTTTTTTTTTAAATCGGATAATAATGAAAACATTTAATGTGCCTACATAGGCATGTAAAAATGTAATTTTAAATGTAAAAATATATTCTTTTAATGAAATTATTTAATTTTTCAGTTATTACAATTGCCCCGCCTAAGTATATTTCAAAAAACCTTATCATTAATAATTCATTAAATTTATAAGAAATTAAGAATTATCAATTTTGGCATATTCTAATTTATTTTCAGAAAACCATAGAAAGAAAATTATAAGCCAAATACTTTATAAAATAAGACCACATGTACCTATTACGTTTATCAACTTTTATACAAACAAAAGCAGATAAGAACCATGAAAATTGTTGCATTAAAAATGTATTTATTATGAAAACGTTTAAACCGAAAATTATAAATCTATTTAAAAAGCATAGAAAATCTTATTTATGCAAATATAAGGCAATTCGGGAAAAAAAACTTACTTCAAAAAGCCTGGAACTACGAAGCTTCGCTTACTGGGTTGATACAGAGGGCTTTCTACTCAAATTTTGTGAATGAAGGACAACGAAGGTCGAACAAGTCAAACGAACACCGAACGCAATTTGTACTACGTGAGTGCGTTCCGTCCTCTTTTATCTTATACGTCCTCCTTACAAAACATTACACCATCGCCCCTCACGAATTGCCTCAGCTGATCATGTGAAAATAAAATTACACTTCCACGTAATGCACTCTTACGGTCTAAGTTACGAACAAGCAACTAACGATCGCCTTTCTCTACCGTGCGCTACATTACCGACTTACAGATACCTGTCTTCTATCAGGGTACCATCTTTAATACAATAGCTAAAAAAAATGCCTACACAATATGACCTACAGATTGCAGGCCACACCAACTATAAGGAAAATTTAATTTTACCCTTTAATAAAATGATGCATGCTTTATCTCCACCAGCTACTACTACTTACTAACACCCTAGTGCGAGACTGGAAGGGCCTTTTCCTGTCTCCTTTTAGGAATCGTGGAAAAAGGTGGTGGTTGGAGTGGGAATGATATGATGGATGAACTGAAGATGAAAGAAAACTGGAGATATTGCTGCCCCAACATTTGCCCAAATGATTACAGAAAAACCAGGACAGAGGCGTACCGGGAATGCTCAAATTTTAATATATGGGATTAGTCAATGAAGTCAATCAATCTTAAATGTAGTACCATTTGATTAAAAAGTTATTGGAGCCCTCGGTTATACTGTTCTAAAATGTCACTAGGAATGTCTTCCATTAAAGTTTACTAGAATGAACAGGACCGAAACGGTGTGTCCTGGAGCTAGGGCATTTTATATGTATTTCGACTAGTGTTCCAAAGATTGTTTGGAATATCCTATAAGTTGAAGATTTGTCCAGTTTGATAAGCTTAGGAGTGAGAATGTACTGGGATGTTCATGAATGTTTCTAGTGTGGTCTTCTGCTGGAATGTTCTAAAGTGAACTGAACCAGAAGAATCGAGAAAGTTTAGGAATGTTTGAGGGTAATTACGTGTACGGTATAGTTGGCTTCAGGCATTTTCTTATATTTCGATCAGTGTTCTAAAAAATGTTTGGATACTCCTATAACTCCGATATCTCTATCTTTTTTGGTAGAGGCCACTGTACACTAGAATGCTTTTCATTGCTTTTAGAGTAGCCCTCAGACAGAATGTTCTCGAATCTACCTACCTAGGATTGTCCTTAGCCACAATTAACTAGAATGGTAGGACCGAAAGGGTCAAGAATGTTCTGGAACCATTGTGATGATTATATGCGTTTCGGATTGTTGAAAATCTCCTATAATGTTCAAGATTTGTCCGGTTTGGTGTGATGTGTGGGCTTGCGGGTAAACCTAGTAAACCCAGCCAAGTGGGTTGTCGTTTACTAGTTACAACAATAATCCACATCCACTATTGCCAAGTGGTACTGCCGAAGAAATTAGTTTTACTTGCGAACATTGGGCATATTACCCACTTTGTCTTAACCGATCGAGTTTGAGAAATTACCCTCTTTACCTTTCTCTGCGAAAGGTTAATAAACCTCTACATTAAAATAGTTGGACATGTTCGATTACGCACCAAGAAACCGCAATGAATCTGTAGCCTTCATTAATTATGTACATCGACAGAAATACCAACTTTCCAACCGCAGGAAAAGTCCAAACGGTTTTTTAAAACAAGCCTCATCAATTCCTTTAAGAGAAACTAGCTCGCTTTACATACATATGTATAAATATTGTCTATTTATATTCCAAGCGCAAACTACGAAATTCTACATAAGTAAAGGTTTCACGAATAAATGCTACAATTGCCACATATAGCAAGAAATTTATAGCATCGAACTAATTCACGTCCTAACATATACGGTGACCAATAAAATTTATTAACTTGAAACTGTAAGATTCTGTAAAAATTTACAATACGCGTATTTATGAGTATTAAGAGCACTTAAGATAGTTTTAAAATTAATAAAACATTATTTTCTACTATTTTTACAGTAATATTTATGCTAAACGCTCGCACATACAACACATCTCCTTGACAGAAAGATTTATCATCAATCATAATCATCATAGGATCGTCTGCGCTTCCACTCTCCACTTCCACCTAATTTTCTCATTTACATATAACTAAACTATTTGTGAACAGTAATCTAATCTAGGTCTACCTCTACTCCTTTTAATTCCTGTTTCTGCTTCTAATATGTCTTTAACTAGTCTTTCATGCCTGAGAAAATTTCCTACATATCCATCTCGCCTGCAAAGATGTCCTAGCAACCTATTTCGCTTATTTCTTCTTGACAGGGGGTTTATACTTATTTTTTTCATTCGATACCAGCGGGACACTGTTTCTAATTTTTTATAATAAATACAATTGTTACAGTCAAAAAACAAAGAGTTCCTATATCGGTTCAGCCGTTTTGAACATATACCTTTTTTGATTTCCCAATTTATTCGAAATTTTTATGATCTCGGACTAATAGTAAGAGAAATATCTGACTTACGACACAAAAAATTGCGTCTTGACACTAGCTATTAACTTTTTTAAATAAAAAATTTATCATGAACAAAATCTCATTAGTTTAACAGTAATTAATTAATTAGTCAAGTAACTTTATCAAATGATAATACGTTATTATTGTACAAAGCAAAACTAAATAATAAAAAAAAATAAACTGTTACATTTACAGATATCTAATATAGGTAAATTAGATTAGATAGAAAAACTGTCTTTCTAGCTTCTAGCATTCTAGCGGGCAATAATAGAGAAAACGATAGAAAAAGGAAAGAGTGCATACATAGGATTTGAAGATTTAAAAAAAGCTTTTGAGAATGTTAAATGGGACAAGATGTTAAATATACTTAAAAATGTAGGGATGAATTACAAAGATAGAAGAGTGATACTTAGTTTGTATAAAGAGCAACAGGCAGTTATAGAGCTGGGGATGCAACGTAGAGAAGTAAATATTAGGAAGGGAGTCAGGCAGGGATGCACACTGTCACCGCTACTTTTTAATCTATACATCGAAGACGCCATCAACATCATTAAAGACAGTACAACTGTAGGGATAGATGTGCAAGGGCAAAAGATTAGTATGCTTAGATTTGCAGATGATATAGCAGTATTAGCATCTAGCAAGGAGGACCTAGAGATAGCTTTAAATAAAATGGAAGCGGTACTGACAGAACAGTACTGTATGAAAATAAATAAAAGTAAAACAAAAATACTGATATGCAAGGGAAGAAAAAGTAGGGAAAGAGCGAATATAAATATAGGAGACGAAAAATTAGAAGAAGTGGCTGATTATAGGTATCTAGGAAGTCAAGTCAGGACGGAAGGAGTAGTAGAGATATAAATCAGAGGATAGTGCAGGGTCGAGTCGCCTTCAATAAAAAGGAGTCACTTCTATGCTTGCAAACAGTTAATTTAGAAATTCGAAAAGGATTATCAAAGGGGTGTGTAGAGCACGGCGCTGTACGGGTGCGAAACATGGACGGTAGGCGCTGCGAAAAGTCATGAAAGTCTAGTCAGAGACATATTAGATGCAGAAACTGGGAGTTGGGAGGGGTAGAGGTAGGCCTTTAATTACTGTTCGCAAATAGTTAAGTTAAATGTGGGATGTTCTAGTTTTAGGGAAATGTGAAGATTAGAGCTCAGGATAGGAAAGAGAGGAGGTGCGTGTCTAGCCAGTCTTAGGACTGACGACCTTATGATGATGAAGAAAAACGGTAATTTAGGAAAAAAAGAAACTTTAAAACCAAATTTGTGCAGGTTTTTCATATTTTTCATAAACGGTAAAAGATGAAATTTGTTCTCCCATCATGTGCTCCAATGATTTTAGGAAAATACAGACCAGGAGAAAATGGCTTATTTTTCAGCTAGAAAAATACACCAACTATTATTAATAAAATATTTTGAATTGAATTCAAGTTTTATACGCATCGATTCATACTTTGACCCGGACTATCCAAGCACTAACGCAAAAAGTGTTTGTGTCATCAATACCAAATTCCGAGCGAGTGCTTAACGATTATCTAATAACAATATTACCTATGTGTATACAAGCTCTACTAACTTAACTAATTATCATCATCGGAACGCAAACGTTCATACAAAAACGCACACCTCCAAGAAGGAGGCAATACTTCCAAGAGCCGCTGCGAAGAGGGGATTTAACCAGGTTCACGGTGTACGCGATGGTCAAGTTCAAATCGCGAAAAGCCCACAGTTGACATCATTCGAATTTAACGCTTCAATACCGCAGCAAGTTCTTATTACCGTTCGTTAATTACAAGAAGTTCATTTGTACATTAGCTGCGAACGAAAGAGCTTACGCGGCGTCTAATTCCGCATAGTAACCGCCATTGCGCTTTTTTTTGTGATTGCTGTGTGTTCAGTTGGCAGCAGTATGACACTTGATCTACATAAATAACAAGGTGTTTAAACCGTGCATATAGTTTAACAACAATTGTTTTATCATTGCCCATTGTTTCAACCGAAATTCATTTAGTTGGCGCGTTGGAGTATCAAAGTGAAGAACTACGTACTTGCAGCAGTAGTCGCGGTTTCGTTTTTTTTTCTTTTTATTGACTCAACTGTGCATCCCTGTTCTAATTAAACAATGTTAACGATGATTGTCGCTAACGATAAACTAATAAGCTGAAGAAAGCAAGGTGCAGGGTACTTATTGGATTTGACAAAGTTTGGGACTATTGAATTCGTAAAATTTTCGGTGAGTTTAAAAATTAATTTCCTAAGTCGCATTTTGTTTTGAACTGTGGGATCTTTTAACACAATAAAAAATAAAAAAAAATCTAAAGAAAAAACAAAGTATTGTTAGGAAAAGTGTGAACAAAAAATTAAAAAAAAAATACATTTTCCTCGACTTTAATAACAATATACAGAACAAAATTGTATTTTTGAGGAAACACTACAATATGTATACAAAACCCTAACCTACCCTCATTGAACGTAATTCAACCATAATGTTTTTTCGTTTTACTTATTTGTATGTTATTTTTACTTAAAAATACATGATTCTCTATATATTGTTATGATCTACGTTAGGGTAGGTCATTTTTTTTTTCAGTTTTTCGTAATAATACGAATGGTTATTTAAACTATACAACCCTATTTTTCTCTAGAAAGTATCTTAGTTCTTGTGGTTCTGAAACGTCCCACGCTTTTTAAAAACAGTGCAATTGTTCTTATTTTTGTTACAATATTTCAAAAAAGTAAGCATACATCATTGTTTTAGAGTCATTTATACAAATCCCAAGAATTAAAACATTGTAGCTATTTACGAAAAAGTTGGAGCCCTGTTTACTTATTAATCCTAATAATCCATAAAATTTTGGTGCAAGTAATGTTGTTTATCCAAAATAATCTATAAATCTATGCTTGGCATTATAAGTGTCATTATAATAAATAAAAGCTATCGTTTTTTTAATGTAATTAAAAGTTGTAATTTCAAATCGTCACAAAAACATGCTTGTACTTCTAATCCGAACGTTAATAATCCATTCAATGAGTTTTGAAGTTTTTGATTGCAAAAGTCTAATGTCTGCCTTTTGGTCTTGTTAATTGATATGCCACGTTACACTAATTTAAGTCTTTACCAGTCTTTTATTCACATAATTATTGAAATAAAAGGAAATGATAAAACGAAAAAAAATAAACGTTTAAAATACAGGTACGGTATTAAATCTTCTAGGTAGGTAGACACACGAAAGATTAGTTAGAGACACTAATAAGGAATAATGCAATGCATAGGAAAACCTAGATTATATTATTCTCTAATGTAGATAGGTTGTTCTAGTTTTTAAGAAATGCGAAGATTGTAAGATATCAAGGAGCGCAGAGTGGAGGTACAGCCCAGTCATCAAATTGACGACCCTACGATTTTCTTTTTGTTATCTACATATTACCAGCACATTGTTTTAAATACAAAGCATATATTCAATATTAATGATCAGTAAAGATGGTATTTGGAAAACTCTTTTTACAGAGGATAATACTACTGTTACCGAAATTTTTTTGCAAAATATTAAACTTCCTGACTACTATTAAGGCCTTAATTGATAAAACAAACATTGAACCCCTTTTTCACCCCTTCAAGGATTGAATTTTAAAAAATCCTTGTTTAGTGCTCGCCCCTACGTTAAGAACATAAAGAAAGCTTTTAAACTCGAGGGTTTGGACTGTAAATTGATGTATCAGTTTATCCTCTAATACACATGCATATATTTATACAGAAAATTCCATCTTTTTTTTTTGACAACCGCAATTTAATTGTATTTCAGACGATACAACGTACTTTCCTTACCTCAAGATTCTACGAACAAAAAATTAAGGTAAACATCACTTAACAGAGGTTACATCACAAATACTTAAACAATTATTTATAATGATTTCTTCTTATTTACTGCCACATAGCTTTTCGAAAAAAAAAAACTATTGGTATTAAAGATTTTCCATTATCCACTGCGTTAATATTTCCCATTACTGATTATTTTTATTACTCGTTAAATATAAAAACATTTATATTCAGTATAACAGAAGCTTCGTTTGTACAACCCTCTTATATCGTACGTTCGTATGTAACACAAATTACCGCTTGAGCTACCAATCAAACATGACATATTTTTTGTCTCGGAAAAACTTCTCAGAAGCGTCAGAAATTATTATTGATTAATGAGGAATTGATGTTAAGTAATAATAAAATCATTTGGACAAAAAATTAAAATCGTATCCTGTTTATTGACTTGCATGAATTCGGAAAAGAAATCCGCTACATAAAAGTACAGGCGAATGTTAATTATTTCTTATTTTTAAGCCGAACGTTTCTGATTAATTAAAAATTAAGTAATTAAGGCTTACATCCTTCACAGTGACAGATTACCATGAATAAAACACTGCAGAAAAATACCCAATTGTTCACTTACATAAATCAATTTCATAATTTGCGTACCTGAATTAATTAATTATTTCTTTGAATCGACGTAAATGGTCCAATCAACTTGTATTCAAACAAATTTACTTTTTTAATAGATACTTACGAACACTAAAATAGAAATCATTTTTATACCTGTACCTATCTACATTGGCAATGAACGAGAAGCAAGTGTAAATTCCTTATTACAACACTCCTTCAGGTGAGGTGCGTTATCACGATTATTTAATTTTTTATCTAATTTAATTACGAGGAAACGGAGGCATACGATATTAATAACGCGCCATGCTGCGACAGTTTTTTGTACTTTCTAATTCATACCGATTAAAGTGCAAGAGTTGTCAATAGTTACATATAAAAAATTGAAGCGATTCGTACATTTTTAATACGTCTTACACACTCCACAGGAATTATTTTTTAAAAAATAATAAAGAAGACTCATCTACAACTAACTTATATCTCCTAAATGCAAACAGTTGTGCTCGAAATTGATTATCTATCGCTGCGACTGACTTTTCCCGATTATCTATATATATAAAAGAAAGTCGTCTTAGTTACACCATTTATAATTCAAGAACGGCTGAACCGATTTGGCTGAAAATTGGTGTGGAAGTTGTTTACAACCGGGAGAAGGACATAGGATACTTTTTATCATGTTCCACGAGAAAAACGTGGTATATGTAAACGCAACTGACATGGAATGACAAAACGCAACTGACAGCAAAACGAAAAATTTATAAATCAACTCATCAGTCTAGCCGTTCATTTGTTAAAAATGGTACAACAAAACGTACTGACATGGAATAACAAAACGCAACTGACAGCTAAACGTAATGTTGACTATGGTTTAGTATGGTGTTTTATTTATAGTCAGATTTACCTGAAACTTGGCTTTCATGCTTTTTCATACAAAATTAGTGTCATACATACCTATTTCAACATTTTACAAAATTCTACCTCTTTAGGAAGCTGAAACGATTTTGCAAAGATTGCATGTTTGTTTTTGGTCCGATTTACTTGAAACTGGTTAAAAAATTCAATCTCTGTTGGGATGGATGAGTGTTGAAGAGGAGTTGCAATGTTTAAATGGAACATATATTATTTGTGGTCAGGTTTACTTGAAACTTGGTTTTAATGGTCTCATTTAATTTCTGAAAGATCTACCTCGACATCTTAAAAAAGGGGAAGGTGTTACAATGTTTGTTTGGGACATACTGTATTTGTGGTTGAATTCACTTGAAACTTGGTATATCTGCTGTTTGATATTATTAATCAAATGAAAAGAGGTTGCAACGTTTCCTTTTTATTGGATTTGACAAAGTTTGGGACTATTGAATTCGTAAAATTTTCGGTGAGTTTAAAAATTAATTTCCTAAGTCGCATTTTGTTTTGAACTGTGGGATCTTTTAACACAATAAAAAATAAAAAAAAATCTAAAGAAAAAACAAAGTATTGTTAGGAAAAGTGTGAACAAAAAATTAAAAAAAAAATACATTTTCCTCGACTTTAATAACAATATACANATTTTGGTAATTTTTAAAAATCAACCCTTAAGGATGAAATGTTGTTGCTCCGTTTGTATTTGAAATCTATGATGGCGACATTACATAAAATTAAAACGCTGTAAAGGTGAATTGGGAGTTAAAAGGTTTTATAGAGAAACAATATTAATTTCTGCGAGCGAAGCCGCGGAAAAAAGCTAGTAATTAATAAAAATTAAAATGAAAAACGAAAATTTGCCTAAATGTTAAAGCTATATTTACTATTTATCCCACTAGCCCGTTGCTTCGTAAAAGAAAATAATAAAAATTACAATTGGACCCGAATTTGTAAAAATAAAATCCCAGCAGAAATAAATTTACTCTTTGTAATAATACTACTCGTAATAATTAAGAAACTTCAAATAACATTTAAAGAAACATGTCAAAATTGAGTTTATTACACGTTATCTAATAAATTTTACGATTTCTACGGCAAATTTAGTCATTTACGTTGTTTTCTCCGTGTAAAAAGAAACAGTAAGCCCAGTGAGTAGTATCAACTAATCGTGAACTTATTTACAATGAAATAGCAATAAATATTATACTAATTAATAGTTAAAACCTTTCCATTGACAATGATAAAAAAAGAACTTCTAGACCACGAAAAAACTATTACCCTGTATGGGATACAAGTATCTGATTACGTTGATTTTTCAAATTTGCCCTAAAGTTACGTATACATTACTTTATGATTAACAAATATAGAATTTTTACAAACAGGCAGTTAATTAATTAAACCGTATTATTAAGAAATTTTAATTGTATAAATATGACGAAGAAATATGTAATTTATGAACTTAAAAATCGAAATCAATGGTCAGCTTTCACTTGACGTTCTTCTTTTATTAATTAAAATTGCAATCANATTATGTACATAAGTAATTACTAACATAAAATATTTGTAAAACTTCTTCATCATTATATTATTATTATGCAGTTTTTGCAATGACTCTGCCGTTGCGAGTTTGCAATCCTAATTTGGAACATGACATTAATATAATTAAACCATTGTAGGACGTAACGAAATTCTTTCTATGTTTTGCCAACAATAGCGGTGTAATAATCATGATGTAAAACAACAGAAAAGCGTCCAAGTAACATAAAAAATAAACAAATAAATACGACAACAACAACCGGTTGTTATACTTATCGATTGAAGCATTCCAGAATAATAGTATTTTTAAGTCTGCCTTCAAAATTGTATAGGTAACTACGAGCCCGCATTATATAATTTTCTTT